CAACTGATGTTCTTAAACCCTGCTGACTGCCATTGGCGATTGCCAAATAAATTGATCACCAGATCTAACAAATGGATCTTAATATTAATTTAATACCAAACAGAAAACAATAAACTTGTGGAAAAGATGGTATACCACAAACATGAGGTGCAAAAATTTGTACACCATATCCGGATTTCGACAATTAATGTCTCTTCAGTGATGTTAGGGATCGAAACGGTATTTGGAAGGCCTTATAATTTACCTCAATTTTGGAAAGACTCTTGAATTTTAAAGAGTCGAAATAGGATGAACGGAAGATATAAATTCGAAGGAAATATAATACAAGCCCAAACGAAAACATATATAAAAGTCTAAATTGAAAACAACGTTCAAACCTATGATTGCGTTGGATAAAAAACGCAATTTTTATACGTGTGCATGTAAAACAAATTTCTTGATATATATATAGATAATATATTCGGTCTTTTATTTTACCAAGACTCAGACTTAAAAGCTAGATAATTTAACTATCTCGATTTGATAAATTTAATAATCATGTAAGGATCTAAAAATCTGTAAATATATCTTTACTTTATCGTGGCTGTTGTCATATCAGTTAAAAAGATAGTTATATAAACAGTATAAACAGTTAAAATTTAAAAAAAAGTTGAAGTTATTGGTCAAGTATGGTTCAGACTGGTCGAGTATTGTTTAAACTGAAAAATAGGTCGAGAACTGGTCGAGTACAGGTCGAGAATGGGTTAAGACTGTTTCAGACTGGTCGAGTAATAGTTCGGACTTTTTTCAATGGCAAAGATAAGGTCCGAGTACACAGTTATTTCGTAGTGCATTTCTTTTAGACAATAAATGAAAATTAAAAAAATCCCACCTGCGCTTTCTCAATAATATTTTTACAGTGTGTTGTACTACTTTTGGGAAAAATTATATCAAAATTATAGAAAACTTCATCGGCTCTAACTCAAAATATGGACAATTTCATGCTGAGGGGGTCTTCAAATCTTTTGACAGCCTCCGAAGTGCTAATTTTTAACATTTTTCAGCTGGACCAAATCACTACTTTACTTTAAAATTCATGACCCAAATTTTTTTTACAGTGTCATTTCACCCCCCTACTTACTATTTGAGTCATAAAACATGGAGAAATAAATTCGGAAGGGGTATAAAAAAAATCGACAAGTAACACACTGTCCACACTAGGGACTATATTCGTGGACAACGAAAATCAAAGGACAATAACTGTGTACCCGGACCTAATAGGGTAGAAAAAGTTGACCAATCTTAATGAAACTTGGTATGACCAAAGCTTATTAAATTATAAGACTGCTTACAAAGTTTCATGGCAATAGGATATATATTATAGACAATATGACTAATTCTATATTCAACTTTGAGTGTTAAATTTAGATGTTAAAATTGAAAATTTTCAACTATCAACATTTGGGGCTTAAAAAATTTAAATATTGCAAAAAAATACTTTTGAAATGCCTTAATATATAATATATTATGTATTAAAAGCAATAGAGTACTCATTTGATTTATCAGACTTATCATAATTATTAAAAAGTCAAATTTATATGAGCCTGTGGCTAAAAATGGAGGTTTTCCAATGAAGGGGGGCCTTACATGAAGATGTAATATTTTCCAGCAATTTTAAATTTGTAAAGCTTTTTGGTTATAAATAATCCTTACATATGTATTTAATGTACTTTAAATGGAAAGAAAACTTACAAATAACATATCACATTAGTTTAAAAGGGTCTTAGGCCAAGTAAGACTGAAAATAATTTAGGGTCAATTTAGGCCGTATCACATATTTACATTTAAAAATGCATATTGAAGCTATATGAAATAAAATTTTGTGTCTTTTCTATCATTTCTATACTCAGGTGACATGATACAATAAATCTGAGCACAAAAAGACTCTTGCATTCAACTTTTTTTGCAAACAGTATGGTCTGATACAAAGATTTTTCACTTTTTAGTGAAAAACATGCATGCAATTTTAGTCTCAACAGGCTTATATTTGAACCACTTGCTATCCTACAGAAGAAAAGAAAGATATTATGTGACATAAAACAGGTACAAAAGACATTGTTAAGTGCTTTTTATACAAATTTAGTGAGGTCTTTATAATGGACTTCAACTTTTATGTTCCAAGCTCCTCACATTTAACTCGATCCAAACAGGGCGTTAGACGAGGACCATATATACAACACATTTTGAACATATTGTCTGAGATAATCTTCTTTTCTGTAGATTCAGAGTTCACAAATGAGTAATACAACTGGATTGAAGCATAGAAACACAAATATTGACACATAAAAACCTGTCAGATAGAAAGTCAGAATGCCACTTATGCATCAAAATTGAAAAAGCTATGAAATGCTTATTTTGACCATAAAATGCCAAAATTGGTCATTTTTGCAGAAATTCTATCAAATAAAAGTTTTAATCCTTTAGTTTTATGCTATTTGATAAATTGACACCATCAAATCATTCAGGGAAGTTGCCAAAGTACAGATTCTATATTTCCTGATTTCACCTCTTAGGTCCGAGTACACAGTTATTTCGTAGTGCATTTCTTTTAGACAATAAATGAAAATTAAAAAAATCCCACCTGCGCTTTCTCAATAATATTTTTACAGTGTGTTGTACTACTTTTGGGACAAATTATATCAAAATTATAGAAAACTTCATCGGCTCTAACTCAAAATATGGACAATTTCATGCTGAGGGGGTCTTCAAATCTTTTGACAGCCTCCGAAGTGCTAATTTTTAACATTTTTCAGCTGGACCAAATCACTACTTTACTTTAAAATTCATGACCCAAATTTTTTTACAGTGTCATTTCACCCCCCTACTTACTATTTGAGTCATAAAACATGGAGAAATAAATTCGGAAGGGGTATAAAAAAAATCGACAAGTAACACACTGTCCACACTAGGGACTATATTCGTGGACAACGAAAGGACAACGAAAATCAAAGGACAATAACTGTGTACCCGGACCATAAGGTTCAAGTACAAATCAGAACAGTCGAGTATGGTTAACATTGGGGTCGAGTAATATCAAGTAAAATTCAGACCAATTCAGACTGGTCGAGTAAAAATCAGTACAGTCGAGTACAGATATAGGCCATTTCAGACTTTTACTGGTTTGTAGTGATACAAAACACTGATTTGTAAGTGAACTACAAGGAATGTGCTCAAAACATGTTTAGCATTGAGAATAAGATGAACAGTCACGAAAAACACTATAATACTTGCGAATTAGTAGTAAATCGATCTGATCGCAGGTAATATCACTCGAAAAAATCTGATTTACTCTCGGAAAAAAAGTGGACAAATTCACTCGAAAAACACGATCTCAGCCGGATACTATACCTACTGTGAATAGTTCAGACTGTATTGAAAGGTGTTTGTCAGTGAAACTGAGATATTCTTATATTTTTACACGTTACATTGGCAAGATAATAATATCTACCTACGATATCAGTTTACGCGCACAACACCTATTTTTTCGAAAAGAGAATACAGAACAAACAGACAACAAAACAGCTAATTAACCATCTGAGGTAATCTTAAAATGAAGGAACATCAAGTTTATTTTTAGTGCAAGTACAGTAACTATAGTTAATTAAAAACAACGCTTTATAAATTTGATGTGTCTAAAGCGCTTTTCTGGATTTACCTTCATTAGAAACGATGAAACCCAAAAACGTGAAAACCAAAAATGTACAAAAACCTGAATACTTCAAATATAGGACCAAAAGAACCTAAAATGAATAGACAAATTCAGTGATGGTGATTTTTGCCTCAGGGAATGGGAACCTAATTTTCTTAATAATTTATAAATTTATCAACGGAGAATCAAATATGACAAATTGTGCAAATGCAGTACAAATTAATCATTTGAATAATGTAAGTACCGAAACGTTGTTTACTTGGTGGCTGATATCTTCAATGACAAATTAATAGTCCATTAGCAGGGGTACAAACCTACTAGGTAACCTAGTTGTTGTACTAATATAAAACATATGATATCGATTAATGTGCGGATAACACTGGAATCTGGAATAAACGTCATCAGGTACACTTACAACAACATTTTTTGAAAGTAAATCTATAAATAGATGCACATTAGCAGACAAAGACTAAAATGTTGAAATGTTCTTTGGTGCATCTAAATAAGTACGAAATAATTCGTAATTTTGTTTATTAGACATGTGCATCGGTAACTCATAGACAAAATTGAACCTACTGTTTACCCTATAGGCCAATAAATAATATTGGTGTAATTGTATAACGTTTAAAAAAAATCTCATTAGTCTTTCACTTCAATATAGTAATAAGGAGAAGTGGCGCAATTGGCAATGAGAAAATTATTAATTTCAGACAAAGACAAAGATGTGAATAATAACAAGTTTAAACTAAACAAAAGAAAAATAAACAAACTAAAACTAATCTAAAAACACAACACAACACAACACAACACAACACAACACATTACCACACTTCACTACACTACACTATATTAACTTAAACTTAACTAAACTAAACTAAAATTTTCAATGATACATAGACTAGTTTAAGGTGCAATTTCTGAAGTCAATATCTTTTGAATCGACGCATTCATATCACATTAATTTTTTTTTAAATGAGCAATTTTCCGTAAACTAATAGATATAAATAACAATTAAGATAAGAAAAAGATTCATTTTAATGTCTTAAAATTGTTGGAATGACTTAAAAAGAAGACCGTTATAGATTTAGATTTGTCCGAAGATGTACATGCTCCTTATTACATGGAAAGTCCAGTATAAATATAGTATCTGCTACCAAAAACTCTTTTCCCAATTCTTTCATTTTGAATTGATAAAAGTCAGAAACAAATAGTTTATTTGTGCTATACTCTGATTTCGAACAAAATACTGGTTTTGTCGTAATATTTTGAAGAGGTTTTGTTCAAATTCATACATTTTTTTCTTATATTTCAGGGTATTTAGTCCGATATGAAGATGACAAATTTATGCAAATATTGCCCCCAAAATACTTGAAGATATGTTAGATTTATTTCCCCTTGAACAGAAACACTTCGATGACAACTATAGATATAAATCATTGATTGAATAAATATTATATATACTTTTTCAGTATCATTTGTTAAATCATAGCACACATATAATGTGTCTGTCCTTATATATTAATTACTAAATTATATTTATGTACCAGAATGTACCAGAATAGTCACACTTAATCATATTTTCATGTTTGTAAATATGATTTTTATGTCGTGTCATTTGATTCAAGTGGAAACAAAAAGTAGTAGTCGAGTAATGAATTAGCCTTTCCATGTAGACCCCTCAGCAGTCATTCTGGGAAATCTTTTCTATAAAAAAAAGTATCAAGAAATTACCAATATGGAAACCAAAATCTACAAATCAAATAAAACTAGATAACAATATGGCAAAAAAAATACAAAAAACACAAATAAAATTCCACAAAACAATTTAATCAACACGAATCCCAATTAAACTTGGATGAACGCAAGTTCTCCTCGGTGCTAAATCCATAGAGTTGAACCAAATCTGGTCAACACAGGAGTGCCTATACTTATCTATTGTATGTTTTCCCCATCTTAACGATAAATTTATGTTCATTTAATGACGCTAAAATGAAATACAAACTAAAATGACAAAATCAATCACGGGCCTGAAAAGACTGAAAACTAAATATTACTAAAACTGTTGTCAAATATTGTATTTACACTAGAGACCAAAATAGCTATCATTCCCTAAGGGTGGAACATCTTTCGTGTTTCGAATGATTTCTAACATTTCATGAAATTAAAATTTACAAAAATTACCAAAGGATATTTCATGTTAGCAGAGGAGTGCTGACCACTAAAGCACTTTACAAAGCTTTCTTGACGTCTCAACAACATGATTTTGTCACAACTTCGCTTCATTTATGTGCTGCTAAAAGTGTATAACAAGACCAAAATAAGTTGAAACGAATATTAAATAATAAATAAAGTATATTTTGGTTAAACACAAAGTTCAGCTTATCTCATCTGATCGATTCCATCATGATTTCTTTGATCGTGGGCTGCTGCTTAGGAGGAACCTATTAAAACAAGGGTTCTTAATAGCAAAGATTGATAATCTCTTTGAAAGGTTAACGGACGCAATCATAATTTAGTGGACCATTATGGAATATCTTTGTCACAGATAATATAAAAATACGAAAATTTGGTATAATTGACATTAAGGCAGTTTTCCACCAGAGACCAAAATAACATAGAAGTTAGCAACTATAGATCACCGTACGGACTTCAACGATGAACAACACCCATACTGCAAAGCAAGCTATAAAAGGTCCCGAAATAACAAATGTAAATCAATTCAAACGAAAAAACTAACGGCCTGATTTATGTACGAAACAATGAACGAAAAACAAATATGATATATACAGCAACAAACGACCACTAAATTACAGGCTCCTGACTTGGGACAGACACATACAAAATATGGCATTGTTAAACATGTTTGCGGGCGCCAAATCCTCCCCTAACCTGGGACATTGGTGTAACAGCACAACATAAGAACAAACTATAAAACTCAGTTGAAAAGGGCTGAACTCATCAGATCGATACTAAGCACAAAAAAACTAATAAAACCCCAGAAAAAAGTAAATATCTGAGAGCACTCGCAGTTACTGAAAGCTAGTTCTAAGCCTATAACAACTAATAGAAAAATCATGTATCTAAGACTAAAATATCAATCAATACACATACAGCATTAAATGGATTTAGTGTAAAGACGTCATTAACAGTCCTAGAAAAACATGATCAATGCCAAAATATAGGTATCGAAGGAATGTGGGACAGTGAATGTTCATAGGTGTATAGCAATGATATTTAGTTGGGTTTTAATTTATTAATAACAAAATAAATATTTACACTGATAAAGATACTATTCAAAGATCTAATTACAGTGTTAAATTGGTAACCTTTAAGAATAATTTTATTAAAGGATCGATAAGTTTACCCGCATCGTATCTAAATGTACGGGTTCGATAAACAACATGACCGTAAAAAATAGGATGCGCTATCCTGTTTTAACCACGAACAGTTCCAGATGCCCTACTCAAACTCCTGTCCTTTTTTCGTTGATTGTGACTTCATCGAAGGCGACTTATCACTAGATTTTTACTTGCCATGAACAAAACAACGGTTCTTACTACACGAATAGACACTGCTAGCTAAAAGTTCAGATGTACCTGATTTTATCTTAGTTTTTAAAAGGGGTTCGTGTGTTGCTTTTGTCTCATTGTTCTGTGTTGTGTTAGCGCAATTCTATTTTTCAATGTTGCTGTTGTTTAATCGTTATATCGGTACTGTCTATAATATAACGAAAAATAACGTTTTCCTTGTACTATGGTTAGAACATTTAAATATACCGATGGTTAATTTTTAAATTTGATAATATTTAAAATGAAAACATTTTAACACTTTACAAAGTTCCTGCGTCTGAAGCGCTTTTCTGTGTTTATCTTCATCAGGAACGCTCAAGCAAACCTAAACACTTGAAATCCATTTTCAGAATGAGAAATTGAATATGTCAAAGATTTCCATCAAGATCATGCAAAATGCATAACGAGCATAGACTATTGTCAAACTGTTTTTAAAATGTGGTGAAATAAAGCAGAACGTCAGTTATTCGATATTCATAGAGTAGTTAAGCATGGTGTAATTTGGGAAATCCTCATTACAGAATCGTGAAGTGTTTGGAGATCGATTCAAACCCATTTTTCTATGATTCTGTCCGGATTGAAATTTACATTTGTGGAATTAAACTAACTGTCAAAATAGGTTCAAATGGATACCCTTACGATGCATGTTTTTGTTTCCAAGTTCATATACTCAAACTCAAAATAAGTTCTATCCGTATTTACACAATCATATAATGGCTGATTGAAATATTTTATTTTTTAAATTGTTTTTTTTTTATTTTAGAAAATAACCTAGATTAATTATTACAGAAATGTTTTGCTTAAAAACAGAACAAATCATTTATTGAGTACGGGGTTAAAGCATTTATTTTATACCTCAAAGGAAACCGCGAACCTTTTAGAAAGCATAGCAACTGGTTATTGAAAATAATTATATTCAATTCACATTATTATGTTATTTATACAATTCTAAAACTGAATGCATGTAGATAAATGATTGTTTTCTCAATTTCTAGACTGGTATTTGTTTGCAAACAATCGTAACTTGTCCGTGGTTCTGGGTTGAGTTGTGTGTGTGTGAAATGGGACAAAGGCTTCGGAGTGAAGGCAAACTAGAAGAGTATAACTTACTTTTTTGAGAACTTTTAGAGCCAGATCCTATATTGCACATAAGGTAGCAATAAATTATTAATCTCCTCTAACTAAGAGCAAACGTTCCTATTGCTGTGTAGCTCAAATACGTTGCCTCAGTTTGTATTGTCATAGATTTTTTGACTTTTGAAAGCAAGGTGCTAGTTCTATTTTAATTTAATAGTCTCAAATGTCTGAATTTATCAGAGAGAGAGGCGAAGGATATCAAAGGAACATTCAAACGCATATGTCGAAAATAAACTGACAACGCCATGGCTAAAAAAGAAAAAGACAAACAGACAAAAAACAGTACACAATACAACATAGAAAACCAAAGACCGAGCAACACGAACCCCACCAAAAACTGGGGGAGATCTCTGATGCTCCTTAGGGGTAAGCAGATCCTGCTCCACATATGGCACCCGTCGTGTTGCTAGTGCAAGTACAAACCCGGTGATATGTCTAATTCGGTAGGTCACATTCGGGGGAAAGAGATTGTAGTTACGACGATTGTTAGGAATGGTAAATTTATGATTTCCTTAAAATTTCAAATTTCACGCATATGAAATGGACAAAAGAATTGTACGTGTGTTCATTTCATCCAATGGAACATATTATTTCTATAAGATAATGTAATGGTGTTGATTTTTATCACTACGATTTTACATACGATTACCCGTTTCCAATCGTACGATTTAACGTGCGACCGACGTAAGATTTAAGATTTTTTGTTCGAACTTTTGTGAAACGCTAGCCAGGGTGTATAAATACGAAGAAACGTTAAAGTAAGACAAGAGACCTATCGATCCGCTATTGTATGTCGCGGTATACAATTAACGATTTTTTATCAAACATCATGTAAATCAACTTTCAAATACAAGTTTCAATATTTTTTTTTTTTTTTTTAATACGATAACAATTCGCTCTTCCTTAAAAGGTATCCGGTGTCTTCTTGTTTTACTTGTATTATCAAAGATTTTAGTTACCAATTTTTTCATAAAAATGGGGGGGGGGGGGGGGGGGGGTTGACACATAAAAAGTGTAGCTAGCGAAAAGCAGAATTTTATTAATAGATATAAGAAGATGTGGTATGAGTGCCAATGAGACAACTCTCCATCCAAGTCAAAATAGGCATGCATTCAGATACAGATAATTTATTACGTAACACTTACAATTGTAATTAATCTAACTGTCGGTAACGACCTATAGCTAGGACATAAATGATCTGATGTAGATATCACGGAATTATAATTTTATGTACGATTAATGTCCTCTCTCCTTATGTGGAGAATCTGCTTGTTTAAGCCCCCGTTACACTAGACCAAGACAATAAAAAAATCCCTCTACGACCTTTAAAAAATAAGACCGCGGTGAGATCTTGGTATGGTCGGCTTGGATATTCAATATACCATAGTTTTCACGTTCATACCACGACCTTGTTATGCTCCTGATAAGATGCTGCTACGATTCCGCTACGATAGTAACACGTTCTAGTTGCAATCTTGTCACGCTCTTGCTACGTCTAATAAGACCTTACCACGACTTACACGATCTCAATACGAGTCTACTACGATCGGATCACGACTCCACTACGTTGTCACTGTGCTCTTCGTTTGCTCATGTGTGTCTATGGTTGAACTACTGGTAGAAGTTATTGCATTCGTTTTTTTTATATTAACAGAATGAGATCATGCAATAATCGTATCTAGGACGTATTTGTATCGTAGTAAGGTCGTACTAAGGACGGCTATTGCGTAGTAGCAGCGTTCTATTGTCTTCCTCATCGTAGTATAATTGTATCAGTATCGTAGTAGAAGCGTAATGAAGACACAGATAAATCGGGATAGTAGCAGTCTAAATCGATGTAAGGTCGCAGCGAATTTTTTTCCATTGGCTTCCCGATTGCTCCATGTTTCGAATACGATGTTTCTACGCGGGCCATCCCGATCTTACTACGTCCTTACTACGACTAGTTTTGGCCACGACTGCACTATGTTTTGAGCATGTTCAAAATTGGTCGTGGCCCTCCACGATCATGAAGACCTTGGCACGTCTTTACTACGACCTTACCACGACCACCACGGTCTTACTACGACTTCCAAAATTTTTCATAATTTTTTAGGTCGTAGCGGGATCGTGGTCCTAGTGTGATGAGGGTATTACACAATAGGAATCATTCATTCAGTTATGATAACAAAAGTTACTCGCTCAATTAATTCATCGTAAGTTGCTTAATACCCAATACACAATTTATAACAATTAATGCCAGTTGAAACATGACAACACAGTGTAATATTAGGTCCCAGATGGCAGTTACTGTGAATCCGGTAGTTACAGAAGTAATAATTAACACCGTTTGAATCTCAATTTTTACAAATGTTCTATTGTTTTAGAAAATGTAAAATGCACTGTCAATAAACACGTACGATTTGTTTCTATTAATGAATAAAATATTGTTTACGGCAATCTCGTCTTTTATTAGCATTCACGACACAATATGACGTGGTTACAGTCTGCGTACAGGGGCTGTTTTAATTCTATAAAAATTCCCGATGCTTTTCGAGAATCAGAAGGCCATAGTATCAACGTTAACTTATCAATATTTAGGGGATCACGCAAAAATGTCTTGTAAAAGCACTCCTTTATGTACTAGTATAACTTCGGTAAACTCACTCGAAGATCAGATGAAAAATTACCATTCATGTCACAAATATTATATCAATTTTTCAACATTCAGATGTAGTTCAACGAGACCTATAATTGCATGCATACAAATTTTCATAAAAATCTTAAATTTCGTGCAATTACGTATACTTTGCTTTAGTAGATAAACTATCAAATTATTATTGCATATTCAGTTGTAACAATTACAAAACTTTCGGATTTGGTTTGTTTCTTTTCGTGAGTATTATTCATATCTAAACTAAGGACAGACGTCATATTTTTTGCTTCATAACTTGAAAAAACAAATTAAAATAACACATCACAGGAAAAGTAGACAAAAGGACAACAATAATATATGAATTTAATTCAGAAAGTGTAGGTATGAAACAGTTACACTTGCAATTCGTTTTATAATTTACGAATAAAAATAGTTATTTGATTTGTATTAAAGCTTTTGAAATGTTTGGTCTAGCGAATGACTTTTAAAGAAAGATTTTTTTTTTCAAAAATAGAAATTGATAATAAATAGATATCTTTGAACAAAAAATAGTGAGACCTATTTTTCACAATCAAATATAAGTATGATACACTGCTTTAAAGATCACAGATTCAATTCTTAAGGTAGCGGTTGAACGCTTACTTAGTTACTTTTGTTTTCTTATTATCGTCTATTTATTTAGATGTTCCGTTTCATTGAATCAGAAGCATTGAAAATTATCGCAGTGTGAAAAAAACTATTCAAAGTAGAAATCGAATTCAATCTTTTGTAAATAACTAGTAAATTGTCAATAAACATATTGAGATAATTCAGAATATGGCGCACGAGTAAGTATATATCTTACAAAAATGTTTTGAAACGATATTTTTTCTGATTTTTTTTAATAATTCTGCATATATACATTGACATAAATTTAAAAATGAAAGATGTAAAATTAATGTACACAAGATACCCAAGATGTATAGGGTTAAATTAATCAAACATGCATAAGAAGACCTATAGAGGCGTATGAGGTATAACTACATATACAGAAGGCAAATGTTCTATTTAACAGCAATGAAAAAACATACGATAAATACAACCACAAAATAAGTAATAATAATAATAATTTTCTTTATTCAACAGGATAATATATTTAGTCCAAATACTAGTTTACAATATTATAAGGTCCTACATTGTATACATATATTACAACATAAAGTATAAAATTCAATAATAAAAATACTGATACAAATATTAAACTATTACACTGTTATTAGGATTAAACAAATTATTTTTCAAACTACGTTTTTTAAAAGATTCAATTGTGTTACATTGTTTTAAATTTGTAGACAGATTATTCCATAAAGTACTTCCAGATATCAACAAGGAGCGTTTATAGTATTCAGTTCTAGTTTTTGGAACAAAAAGCATATTACAGAAGTACTTTGTCTGATTGTTCTAGAACTAACCTGATGTACATATCTAAGTACATTGAGATATTCCGGAGTCATTTGGAGAATTTATTTAAAACATTGTGATTAACAGTGTCGAAATCTTTGCTTAATGTAAATCAATAAATATTACACATATTTCCCTTCATCGATATGTTAAAGCCATCGATCAATTAATCTATTCAGTACTGTTTCACATGAGTGTTTGGCCTAAAACCAGACTGATTCGTAATCAAATTATTCATAGATAAGTATTCAAATAAAGTATTAAAAACATGTCTTTCAGTTATTTTGCTTATAATAAGTAATAATGAGACTGGTATTTCAGTTAGTCCTTAGTTGTTTACAACATGATCATCTCCAGATTTAAAAATGGAACAACACTGGCTTTTTCCAGTCAGTTTCAACACAAACAAGTTTCAATTGAAAAAATTAAAATAAATGTCAGAAAATCAACAGTGATATCAGATGTCATTTTGATAGAAATCAAATGATATGGGGTATCCATCCATGACACAAAATCAGTACATGCACAGCAAAAAACACAAACAAGCAAAGGAACAGCGCTTTAATTGCTTGTAGACAAATTCTTCCAAAAAGTACTTCCAGATATCAACAAGGAGCGTTTATAGTATTCAGTTCTAGTTTTTGGAACAGTAGTTTAACCGAAATATTAACTTAACCAGTTGCTTTAGCAGAAGACATACCAGAAATCTCTTTTTTGACAAAAATTTCTGACATTTTGGAAATATTAAATGAATCTTACAGTGTATGCATAAATTGTTCTAATTCAGGTAATGAACCATCAAAATTACTACCAAGAGTATGCCCAATTCTACAGAAATACTGATTGAAAGCTTTATTTGTGTTGTGAAAGCTGATCTAAGTGATGTTTTAATAGTCAATTACATGGTTACGTGGTAGAGAAGGTCTTTTTTCATTAGAGATCTATTCATTTGATATCTGGAATTACTTTTAAAATTGAAATTAATCAACCCAAAAATTGGAGATCTTCTATAATAGTATTGACATATTTTTAATTTGTTAAATGATTAGAAAAATACACATATGTGTATTTTTTTTTCTTTCAGAAACATCAGACATATTGATATTGGTGAAGGTTTGGAATTAGAGCTACCAAAACGTTTGTTGACTGAGGATGTTCAAAACTTTCGCGTGTTTAAATGGGATGCAAGAAAGATAGTTCGGGAAGGTAGAGTATTTCATCCAGCTGAAAATGACTATTTGGTCAGTTCAATTTACGATATTAGCAACCAGGCATTTCGCTTTCCAGATGGCGAGGAGGAAAAGATATGGGTGAAAGTTAAACTTGATGAAGGAAAAGCAGAAGAAAATAGAGTATACAAAGCTGTTGTTATAGCAGATAAACAACCAACTTATAAGAAAGCATGGCTTAAGGTAAGTATAGATTACAAGAGTACCAGAACGACTGTGTTTCAGGGGAAAATAAAATTGATACGTAGTTACATTGTAATGTACATTAATATTTGTCCAAATCAATCCCCAAGAGGACAAAGACTATCATATAACTTATATACATTTCCTGGGTGAACGCAAACAATAGTCGACAACACTAAAAACTAAAGATTGAATGATAAGAACACTTACGAAAACTGTTAGTGATATCTGGAAATTCAAATGGTTGCAAGAACCCTAGTACCCATGCAGTATAATAGTATCAGATTGTCAAAATAATAAATTTGAAATGTTTGGTAACAAGTGTAGAACAAGTTGGTGAAATATGTTCTCAATAACTTGTGTGAGACGGGCGAGGCGAGATCAACTAAATCGTATTGACAACAATAAAACATATTTCCTATTGCTACTAACTTAGTCTGAATACGAGCTCGACTAAGTAGTAACTAACCCAGAAGTGTTTGCTTATACTTGGCACGGGCCCTAAAATAGCGATTAAAAACCGTTAAATGTATACATAAAATTGAGAATGGAAATGGGGAATGTGTCAAAGAGACAACAACCCGACCATAGAACAGACAACAGCAGAAGGTCACCAACAGGTCTTCAATGCAGCGAGAAATTCCCGCACCCGGAGGCGTCCTTCAGCTGGCCCCTAAACAAATATATATACTAGTTCAGTGATAATGAACGCCATACTAAACTCCAAATTGTACACAAGAAACTAAAATTAAAAATAATACAAGACTAACAAAGGCTAGAGGCTCCTGACTTGGGACAGGCGCAAAAATGCGGCGGGGTTAAACATGTTTATGAGATCTCAACCCTCCCCCTATACCTCTAGCCAATGTAGAAAAGTAAACGCATAACAATACGCACATTAAAATTCAGTTCAAGAGAAGTCCGAGTCTGATGTCAGAAGATCTAACCAAAGAAAATTAACAAAATGACAATAATACATAAATAACAACAGACTACTAGCAGTTAACTGACATGCCAGCTCCAGACTTCAATTAAACTGATTGAAAGATTATGTCTTCATCATATGAATATCAGGCACAATCCTTCCCGTTAGGGGTTTAGTATCATACCATCATAACATATATGAGAAGAACATAACCCGTGTCATATGTCTTTTTTTTATCAAATTTGATTGTTTTTGTTATTTACGGAATTTAGTAGTGATAGAAGATCTTCGAAAGGGATACACGACAACTCGTACCTTCGCCAACTCGTACTTAACCAACTCGTACCCAATATGTTTTAGCATGATTGAGTTTCATTAATTATGTTATATTGAAAATTTAATTGTTATTTTTGTTTTGTTTTGTTTCTACTGATATTATTTTTCTTAATGTTTTTTTTAAATGCAGCATAATTCTTTCACTGTGAAGTAATGAATTCATTAGTTTTAACCCTTGTTGGTAAATAAGAATATATATAGAACATAATCTCAAGCTTGAACGATCCATAGAATAATAGAAAAACGATATTTTTTACTGATTTTTGCATTGGACATGTGAGTTTATTCGTGTTAGTGTATATATGATGAATACCTTTCTAATCCTTTTGAAAGCATAAAGCCAGCACATGAATTAAACAAACATGACTAATTCCAAACTTTTTACATATATTTATTAGAGACTATAAGGTAGGGGTGATTTCTCATCCAATGACAGAAGGGTCTTTTTTTTCTCGTCAGGGATGGAGGAATCACTAAATACCAGTATGTCTTTGGAATGTTTTTCGGATTAATATACGTGACCGTTATGGAAAGGGAACGGCTACAAAATCTAAATCCTTATTAATGGATTCTTAATCTGCTACATCAGTAGTGTGAGACATCCCCGCATTGGTAGCATTTAACTAGCACATGCCTTATTCTATGTTTCTCGCTAGAATAGCCTACCGGGAGGGTAATTTATGGACAATATTCAATTTTTATTAGCCAATAATCTAGAATACTTTATCCTTACGCCCACAATATTTCCAAAGTCCGGGAGTGCAGTCTGGAGAAACGATGGGAATTTTTATTTTTCCTCCCGGCTGCACTACTTGGAAACTAATTTAAACATTTATCAGGATATAATATAGACTCAAAATTTAAAGTAGGATTTAAGCGAGAAAACATTCAAAAAGAGGACCTTTATTATTATTTTTTTTATCAAGATATACTTTTTTTTTAAGTATATCACAGACGACACAAAGGTGAACAACATGATATAGGTTCTAAACAATTTTATGAACTTAACAAATACCTATCAGTTAATAATTACAGTTCATTAGGAACTATCGTTTCGTTTTTTTGCGTTGTTTTTTTCCTTTCAATTTTTTGTTTTATATACTTATATATATTTTATAGTAACACAGTCGACCCAGTTCGTCACACTTGAAAGATCTTTAAACGCTTACATTTTAGATTTATATCTTACAAATATCAATCCACTTTGTAGTCTGAAAATCTCAAGTTACTTTATATTCCCTTCATGTTTTTTTTTTATTAATACTGATAATTAAAAAAAAATCTGAATAACCTTGGATCCTTGCTCACTCTCGGCAGGACTGACGCGTAGAAGAGAATGGGCCAGGTATCTGGTATGTTTTGTTTCTTACAGTGATAAAAGCAGCTTCCGCCCAACGCAGTTCAGCAAAGTTTACACAATTGGAAATGCCTGTATCAAGTCAGGAATATGACAGTTGTTTTCCATTCGTTTGATGTGTTTGAGCTTTTGATTTTGTCATTTGAAAAGAGACTTTCCGTTTTGAATTTTTCTTTGGAGCTCGGTATTTTTGTTATTTTACTTTTTACTCTATAATATAAAAAAATCAATATAATTATTGTGTATGTTGCAAAAATATTAATTTTTATGGATAAAACCTTTCAAATCATGAAAGTTTTTTTCAACAGTTTGTTAAACAACTTTCTTGGTCATTTGTCTCCCTTTCGCGGAAATCCTTGAATTCAAACATACGAGATATCGGCTTCCTTCCTACACAGTTCAGCAAAATTTACATACTAACCCTTTAGTCTAAACAGTTATGATATGGATAAAGTCATTCTAACAGTTTGTTAAAAACTTTCGGGACAGATTTGTCCCCCTTTGCCTATACTAGCTTGAAAATCCTTGAAGTTCAAACATATGAGATATCAATCGATTTGTTAAACTAGGGATAAAAAATTACCGAATTATTTTTTTTTTCGAACACGGCTATCTTTTAACCTGATACCTTCAATTAACAGACTGCTTTGTAGAATTTAGTTGCTTTATGCGTTACCTATAAATAATTTAAAGATAAAAAAAGATAACATCTGCAAAATTCATGTATGTAAAAAGACCGCCTGTGTTTGCATTTTTATTTGATTTTTATCACAAATATTGATTGTTTTATTTTATTTAACATATTATAAGGTGTTTTGATATGATTCGTGATATCATCGATGTAAACAAGTAATAATAGCAATTTCAATTGAAATACTATTATTGATCCCTTGCCATAATAACATAACTACAGATTGTATTAATATAGGCTGGGGATTTCAGTTATTTATGCTGAATAAACTAAGTTCATGTCATCTCCTTTTATCCATATGGATATGAAAGGAATTAGACATCGTCCGTGTTTTCATTTACTCACGTAAATTCTTTGATTTTGTGTTAGTTGATTCTTTGGGACGGAATGTATTATCTTAGTTGCTCCTATATTTAAATTTATTTAGCAAGCATTATACGAAATAAAACTATCATTAACGAGAAAATAAATGAGGATCAAATAAGAAATTATGATTTAATCTTATTGAACATCGATAAAAAGATCGACGTCAAGCTGAGTCTAACATTGTGGACCTTCTGTTTTATTGTTAAAATATTTAAATTATCTTTCGCGGAGGCGGCGTAAAGCAAACATCAATCAATCAACGAACCATTCTTAACGTATACCCCACATCTCTTTGCATAGAACACCGATATAATCTACCAATCTATCGAAGGTCTTTAATACACACAATCGATTGTCGTTTAAATCATGACCGGATAACACTTTCAAGCTGAAATTCAGAAAAAAATAAGCAAACGTCCATGGTTTTTTTTTTCTACAACCAGCCACACAATCGCAATAACTGTGACATGTGTGATGTCGTAGTGCTCTGCTTTATTCATAAATATGTATTTAAAGTGTCTTTCATAATTTCTAGTGTATAATTAAGAGAAATGAAACTATGATTAACCGCAAAATAAAATGTTTGAATTCACAGCGGTATATCACGAGTTAATGAAATAGATTTGAATGTCATAACAGATAATTGGTATCACATTGCATTTGTCGCTACTTGATACATCATACTCCTTTTGAATACATGTATATGTCGTCTTTCACAGCTTGGATACGTGTGCTTCAGCGCAACCGCCATCGACACGTGCTGTATCCTGTCTTATCCACAAAAAGCAGAGTTCACTTGTGGTCCGACCGGCGGAATCTACACAGCTAGTAATGACTATAGAATACAGATGTTTGTACCGGAAATGGCACTTACACATGAGGAATTCATTATGGTTGAGGTACTTTTAAGTATAATAAAATAGTAATTTTTTTTTTTTCAAATCGAATAGTGTTATATTTATACAATAACAATAAAGTGATTTATCGGCAGTTTATATATTTTCCCTTTGATCTTACTGCATAATACTTTTCTATAACATGGACAGGACCTGGTACTCGAAAAATATTAGGCAATGACGTCACGTAGCAGTGCAGCAACGTCACGCCACGCGTCCATATCCATTTATTTGGGTCATTTTCAAAAAATGTCGAATTTTGAAATTTCAAAATTGATTTAAAGTTACTTATTCAAACAACCCTAATCAAAACAAATAGTACTTATAGAACAACATATAAAAAGATGCAATCTTGACAATGTCATACAAGAATATATTGAAACATTTTTTGATAGGTGTTGCAATATTTTGTCTCTCCTGTTACCATGTTCAAAAGAAATTTCGGGTTATTTAGAAAAGGGTTCGATAAAACTTTAAGCTTGTTTTTCGTAGCCAATAATATGGTTTCCAAGAGTAAAAACTTCTATGTATAATTATTCTGTGAATTGATAGATTATTTGTCAATTTTCCATGTTGTACTGAAAAATGTCTCTAAAAATTGGTTTTCAAAGGTTATAAAAATAACCACCAGTAATGCAAGTCTAAGATAGCAATTCATAATGTTCAGCATTTTTTCTCTCTTTCTAATTAACCTAACATCAAATAGTTCCCTCGCATGTTGGTTTACTTTTGCTCTATTTTATTGGTAACAGGAACGTAGGTTAATGATATATCACTATATTAAGTTCCATCCTGTTACCTTTTTGTCTATCCTGTTACCGATAGCAGTATTGTATCTGCAAATGCTAAATTGCGAAGATTAAGACGTTATAACCTTTAGATGAGTTAAAACAACGAAACATTTCATTATGTGTACAACTATATGTAATTATAATTTTTTTAAAGACGTTTCTTCTACTATTGTCTATCCTGTTACTGTAATCATACGTGTAGCAACCATAGTAACAGGATAGACAAATTTCTTCATTTTTGAATGCTGTTGTGAAATAAATACCCCTTTTGATGAAGTGGTAATGTTTTTCTGTTGTGATTTTGGTTTCCAACACATTATTGCACTTTTTACAAGTATAACATTGGTTTAATTAATAAATATGTTGGTAACAGCATAGACATGACATAAGGGTACCCACTATTTTTTTCACTAAATGTCTTGAAATTTTTTTTCTCTGCACTGTTATACAAAAAACGTGCTGTGTTAAATGTTTAGGTTGCTTTGCGCTTTTGAAATCAACACTGACTAGTTCAATATTCATAGGGAGAACAATTTAACGGTTAATTTAAGTAGCGGTAACAGGATGGACATGAACTTCATGTACGCTGATTGAATTTAGTTTGTAGAAAAATGTTACATATAATAATAAAGAAGCTGCGATTTTTCGTTAGAGTTACTATTAACATTCTAAAAAAAGTCCCTCTTGCAGATATCAAGGTAATCAGAAAATAGGAAAAAAATCATTTGAAATGTGTTACCCTGACACTGTACGCACATAAATAACGCAAAAATCGGACTTAAATATATTCTAATCTTATCAAAATAGATCTAAATCGTGTTAATTATTAATGTTCTGACTCATAAATTTTACAAACTTTCATTTAAACACTTACAACTGCATTTTCCATTAGAAATACAATTTTTAGCATTTTTTTAAAATGACCCATCAATGAAATGAACTATATTACAACGTTTTCTACGCTTAAAATTTTACTTACTTTTTCATTTTGTCTGATATTCTCAAACAAACTTTATCTGAAATAAACCATATGTTATTATAATCAATGAAGCTGATTAACATTTGCGTACGACATTATGGAAAAACAGACGTTTCTTTAATTTTATCGATGTAGTTGAGAAATTTTTACCGTACGTCCAATTTATACAAATATGATATTAATCAATGGAAAGTTTAGCTTAGCATCTTTCCAGTGAGACGCATATATATATATGTATAATTTCTGTTGTAAGTGCTATCTATTAAAACATCTATTCCCCAGCCAAATAAAATTTAAGGGTCTTAATTTTCTTTTCAAATTATTTGGCTGATTGTTTGATTGAAGGACAAACATTTCATTTGTAAGGCGACAACAAATGAACGTAACAATAGATAAATTAGGTAGGTTCTAAAAATTTTGAACGAAGAGAAACAAGAACTGGAAACTAGGAAGGTGGAACATTTGTTTTCAATAGGTCACCTGCGGATCCTCAATTGCTGGGTTCTTTTACGTGCAAAAGAGTATGAAAACTGTGAAAATCTACCAATACGCGTGTCATCGGATTAAATGTCCCTATTCTGATCTATTCTAGCCCGCGGTGTGTCTGCATACTTATGCATTCAATAGAGTGAAAGGGCGCCACTTAAGGGGGCTCGCGGGTTTAAATTTTCGCGCCTACTGCGCAGGATGTTGCGCAATGATATCGTAAGTCATACTTGTTGTCGTAATCGACAATAACAATTCATTTTGATTATTATAAATAATGTGTACTAGTTCAGCGAAAATGGACGTCACACTAAACTCCGAAACATATAAATGAACCAAAATTTAAAAAACACAACACTAACAAAGGCCAGAGGTTCCTGACTTATGACAGGCGCAAACATTTTGCGGCAGAGTTAAACATGTTTTGTGAGATCTTAACCCTCCCCCTATACCTCTAGCCAATGTGGAATAAGCAAACACACAGCAATACGCACAGTAAAATACATGTAGTCTGTAGCTCATGGTACAATGCACTTGTGATAAATGTTTTGACACATTATTTACAGACCCTAGGGTCCAGGTGTGTTGACTACATCACCATTTATTTGCAGACCTTAAGAGTACGGCCTGGCAGGTGTGTTGTCTACACCAGACACCATAAGTAATGGCCATTTGATTTTCAGAAAAAAGGGCAGGAGTTTCTTTTGCAAACAGAATTTTTATTTACTCTGCTGTTAGTCTAGTTTATTTGAATATGAGTTGTTTGCTCTGATTCCTGTTGTCACATACTCCTTTTCCCCCAAGGCGTTTCTCACTAATTCCTGTTTGTACTGCTACTACTGGATAATCTCGCTGGGATTTTTTATAATAAAACTTCGAAATTGGTAAAGAATATGAAATATTTAAACATTTTATGTACATTTTTTGGTTATGCACTGTTTCACGGAAAAAACTTTGATTTTCAATCCCCTAAAAACTAATAATTTTGCTCAGCTGTATATATTCAATTATTGGGGATTAACCCCACCTCCCCCTTTTTCAAAAACTCTGGATCCCCCCTGTAGATTATTCATGTAGAACTTGGCAAGCTGTGTTGAATATTTAATGATAAGGTGAAGTTGTATATTAAACTATATATTTTAAACAATTTACTGTTGGATTAAAATTTTGTTCTCTTTGCAAAATTTTATGTCAAATGCCTTAATTAATGAAGTTATACCATTAAGTGTTTTGCTAGAACAGTACATTTTTCATGGAAAGAATTAAAAATTTAGATTAATTCAAATTAGGCTATGCTTAAACAGTTCGGATTAAATAATAGTTCTTTTAATTATTATCACTGACACAGTGGCAAAATGTAAAAGGTTATTCATGATATTTCACTGATTTGATACTATTATAATTTCTTTATTACATATAAATGAACGTACATATAAACATATGGGAAGTGAAAGTTTTTGATGTTTCCCTATTTCTACATTTGAATGCCATCATACAATGGATCTGTATAATATAGGATACTTGCGTCACAAATTTAGCAAATGCAAACGGTATGGTACACAACATAACTTTCTATTTTGATAGATTAATGTTTAATTTTAAAAAGTACATATATAATGAAAATAACACTCTAATTCTTTGTATTAACATGATTGAAGAAAGATACCCATTTTCTTAATGTTTTAATATGACAGGTTGACTGAAATGTCTGACATTTGGTCCTGGTACACAGTTATCATCCTTTGATTTTCAGTGTCTACAAATATAGTCGCTAGTGTGGACAATGTCTAACTTGCAAATTTTGTTCATCTATATTATGCATAATATAGTAATTAGAGGGATAAAAGTACACATAAAAACAATAAGAATCATGATTTTTGAGGTAAAGTAGTGATTTGTGTTAGTTGAACAAGGCAAGAATTAGTACCTGTATGTATGGAGCTGTGAAACTGAATTACAGACCCCCTTAACATAATATTGTCCATATTTTGAGTTAGAGCTGGAAGACTATTCTATAATTTTGATATATTTTTTCCTAAAAGTAGTACATTACACTGTAAAAATCGTATTGAGAAAGTGCAAGTGTGATTTTTTTTTTTCATTTATTGTCTAAAAGAAATGTACTAAACAGATGCGGATCCAGGATTTTGAAAAAAGGGGGTCCAGGGCCCCCAAACTAGGCAACGTTTGGAGTGGGACATGTAAAAAGGCTATGCATTTACCATATATGTACCTCCCCCCCCCCCTAAATCCACCTCTGCTATGCAATAATTGTGTTTTCAAATTGAATAGACATTTTTTTTTAAACTTGGCATGACCTTAGATTAGGGAATTATAAAAGAGTTGATGAAGTTTCATGACAATATAATCTTGATTGTAGACAATATGTTCATTTTAATAATTTTGGGCGTTTATTTTTTACATTTAATTTAACAATTTCAACTATCAAAATTTGTGATTTAAAAAAATTAAATATTGCAAAAATTTGCTTTTTAAATGCCCTTAAAGCAATTGAAGAATCATTCCATGTATCAAGGATTCAAGATCTATAAGGGTGGAGCGACAGGTATTTGCATAACATGATTTGCAGAACAAGATAAAAAAAAACCTGGTGCACTGTGAAAAGTCATAAGGTTGTAAGGTTATATGAATGGAATAAGCCTGTAAAGTTGATCTGCTGCTAATCATACCATGCTTTTCACATGTTTCAACACTTTTTAATTGGTTAATTGTTTTTTGGAATTTAT